GCTTGTTACCACTGGAGCCCCCATTAGCTGAATTACTGCGGTTCTAGATTTGACAGGTTTCTTTTCTGTAAACCAAAATACTCTGCGGTAGGTATGTGTATGTGTGTTGGTGCTGCAAAGCGCTCTACGATGCCGTCAGTGCTGCGGCACCCGAATGTATGTAGCTTTCTGCGTCAGGCACACGCAGGGGACTAAGCATAGGCTGGTGCCTTCAGGAAGTAGCTTAGCCCACTGCTAAGGGGAAGAAAGCCTGAAAGTGGGGAAGATCTTTGCTGGTGAGCTGGGGAATTGCCGCCTCCCACAGTCAGACTGCACCATCCCGTCCCGCCTCAACTAGCCATCAAGGGCGACCCCGCGCTGGTGTTCTGGCAGCTGCCACTTCCCTGGGTAAGCTGTATGAATGAAAATCAATCCGAAGAACAGTGCTGTACACCTGAAGGGATCAAACCTCTCCTAACGTTCGGACTGCAGAGGGTTACAACAGACCCCTCAGTGTGGGTACCAAACCCCCCCGCCCCTCCCTGCAGGCGTGCTGCCCGGGGCTGCGCTTCAGTGCTGCCTCAGCACTAACAGAGCCGTGCCCCTGCCACAAACCCAGTACGTACTTACAGAGAAGGCAGCTCCACAACAGCGAGGAAAAGCAATCAAGAAGAGGAACAGAAGCTGATGAAGGCTCATTTCCCCTACACTCACCACTCTGATCAAAGCTGTCAAATAGATTTTGAATAGGAATAAATGCTTTAGTTAAATCAATGTAAAATCCTAATCAATCATCACAGTTATTTAAATCACCTCTATTGAGATAGTGATGGCTAATATGTTCTCTTTTGTTTTTAGAAGGCAAGACAACGATAAATATTTTTACAGAAAGCCTAAATATATTCAGTGATGGTGGAAAAAGAGCAAATCATAATTGGCACTTTGTTTCTGTTAAGTAGAGCTGGTAAATAGAACAATTCATTCAGAAATGACAAAGGTCAGGAATTTTCTCCTTCTGGCAGAAGCTTGTATCTGTAACAGCGTATGATAAGGTCTAGTGCATGTTTCTCTCAAATAGGTTCTTGGTTATTGTCTGCAGGACAATAGGACGCTTTCTTTGGGGACTGGGATCTTGGAGACAAAGCAGATAGACAGGAGGTCTCAACTATGGTCTTAACATTTAAATCTTGATTTTGAATAATAGCGTATTAACTGGAAAAGTCATTCCCCATGTCCTAAAATCTGCAGCTGGGGGCTCACCCACTATATAACAAATCAAACCACGATGGAGTTTCTCATAAAACTATGTAACTGTACCAACTGCTGAAACTCGAATAGAGCTGTAAGGGTGAAAACTTCATTAGGATCCATCCCTTAATTCCCAGCAGCTAATAACAATTTCAACTTTTGTACAATTCCACTAATTGAATTACTTCAACAGACCCAACTGAAATCCCATAGCTGACACTGCAGTGCTATTTTCCCAAGGAAGTCTGTATTTCAATCCTTAAATGAAAATGAGAATGAAATCTGCATTGTTTGCCTTCTGTTTTAATCTCTTTAGCCTTTTTATGTTTCAGAGCAATAATTAGTTTGCGTGGCTCAGGACTGAACCTATTGACAGAGTGACTATCAATAACCTATTGGCATACCTATATGATACTTAACTTATATTAGTATTTAAGGCCATGGAAAAATAATGACTCTTTATTAAAAACTACAATGTCTATGTGTACACAATTCTTTTCCCTAAAGGACCCCACTTTCATGGCCTAAATAATACCAACAGATTGTATTTTCTACTGGCTCGTCTGCTTTAGCACTTCATCTCTTACCCTTCAGACAAGCACCTGAGTACCCTGCAGGACGCAACAAGGGTTTCTACGGACCTAGATCAGGTCTCTAACAAGGATCCCCAGCGCAGGCTGGAGCTGTTGAGGCAGCCACCGCACCCCCGCCCGCCCCTGCCTGCAGGGGACCCTGCCACCCCCTGCCAGGAGGGAGCCCCGCGCCGTACCACCAGCCCGGTTCCAGGCACCTGGCAGCTGCCAGGCGCTACGGATCGGGAAATACGCCGGGGTGACCGGCGCCGCTCGCGGTGTACACACACACACTCGCATTGGTCTTACACGTTCTTGGGTGCCATCTCCTGCCACTTTATACCCGTGTGCTCTTGACAGCCCCTTGATTATGAAGCCCTTCAGTACCTGTGCGGAGGGACTGAAGTGCACGCGGGGCTACAGGGTGTGTCTGGGCAGGATCACCAAGCCTTGCTGGACTGGCCCATCCAGCTGCCCCACCGGGCAGCTCTCCCAGCCCCGGGGCTTGGTGACAAGACCCCTGAGCAGACCCGAGGGCGTTCGCTTACGTCCTTTGGAGCCAGCCCTGAGTTATTAGTCTTGACAGAAGTAGCTGACGGTGTTGTTTGGCGCGTCCTGCTGCATGTTCCTCTGCATGGTCCGTGGCAGCTGCATTATCTGGTTTTCCAAACACCCTTTTCCTCTGGATAAATATAACCATGATGCTGTTTTGAGATGGTACCCGAGTAACTGCTCTGCAAATACAGCCCCTCCTCCAACTAGACTCCTCCGAGCAGGAACAGCCTGACTGTGGCCAGAGCCCTTCCATGAGGAAGGCCACACAGGGAATAGGGAGGACAAAAAGAAAAGCTGCATATTAGCAAGTGAGTGTTGTGATCTGAATGTAATGCCAACTAGTCAGCTGGTTTTGATGAGGAGGGACACTTTCACTTCATATAACTCCTGGCTCATGAGTCTCTTTCAGCAGACAGATGGAAGGACTTTTGGAATTCCATTATCCCAATCTGGGCATCTCTAAGTCAAGAATAAAAGATTAATTTTCTCCTGGGGTCCCATTAGTGTGAGTATGGGGATCACTCAAGCACTTTCCACCCTCTTTATTAGATAGGAAAAGCTCAATTTAAAAGGGGGACTTGTGGCCCAAACTAGGTTGAGTAGTTCAGCCCATCATCATATAAGGGTAGATGCTTCAGATGTGTTCCCAATATTAACAATATAAACAGCTGCAAAAGCCTGATGAAGTCACAGTTTAAATATTTAACAATATGATAGCTCTTGTTGAGCTTGAAATGCCACACAATCTTATTAAATAAGGCTTGAAGTATAATTTTCAACTGTGATAAATTCACTAAAGCCTGACTAAGGGACAGGTAAGTTATTTCACTGTATCACCTAAATGGCTGGCTCCTGGTTTACAGTTCTAATTCTATCAAAATACCAGGATTATATCTTGACACTTGTTTATCCCACTACTCTGGAAAAGGCTAATTCTGAAGTTTCAGGAGCCCTCTGTGAAGATTCTTCAGGCAGTTGCAGAAAACTCTATAGGTCCAACCCACTCAGCTGCTCAGAAACTGTCTTATTCTACTGTCATGACTTTAGCAATAGGTTAATTTCTGAAGTTACCGGTAAAACTAACTCAATTTATTCAATTTGCCCACCATTCTTGGTTTTAGTAATGTTTAATAGCTGCAGGAAGAATAAGAGGTGGTTCAGACAGGAGGCTGGTCTTTGCCCCTTCCCCTGAAGCACTGAAGTTGCAGGCTGAATTACCGAGGCACTCCAAGCAAGCGAGTGAGAGCCCACGTCTTCTTAGAAGAACAGTGCTTAGAAGAACACTGCAGAAATGCGGGTTGTCAGCCTACACCTATGGTTGTGTCTACCCCAACAGAGACACCCAGATTCTTTGTCAGTACCGGGAAGCACAGACCCCCACGTGGAAGGAGCTCAGAAATGTGATGCCCACCTGTGACTCCCAGTGTAAACCAGCCAGCGCTGCCGGCAGACGCACACGCCGCTGCGAGAGCCGCCACCGGCTGCGCAGAGCGCGCTGCTGTTGGCCCGGCGCAGCCAGGGACAGCAGGACAGCTAGACCAACCCCCTCGTGTTCTGTGACACCTCTGTAGCTCACCTCACTGGTGGGGAGTAACACAGCACAGAGCAACTTGAACACGGGAGAAAGCTTTGTCAGAGCTGTCTTTGTTCTTCATTATTTGTTTCTAGTCTCATTAGCTTAGGAATTTTGCTTAAGGAGTCACAATTCTAGAAAGGACTGGTTTCAGGCCAGCTGCTGTGGGAAAAAAGTTCAGAGAACCATTACAGAAGATATCAGGAGATGCATAAAGCAGAATACTCCTCAGACTGTTAAAACTAGATGGTTAATTTTCTTGTCAAGGTAGTCTTAGTAGACTCTCAAATAAGGATGACTGCTTCAGATTTGCTTCTGTTATTCATATCATGTTCCTTCCCAAGGACCAACTCAAACGATTCACCTTGTTTTCCCAATTAAATAAGATTATTTCCATTTCAATTATCCCACAGCTAGGTGGAAATCTAGAAGCAATATTATGTTTACATCTTTCAAGCCTTATTGCCATCAGATCATACATACACAGCCCTCATGACCCATACCACAGCCTTCTGCTGCTTGTATACTAAGTATTATGAGACGGTATCAGCAAAACATTGCTTAAACATTGTGCACCGAGGGGGAATATGCAATAGTAAGTGCTAAATAATTACTAAAAAGGGGAAGTACCTGCCTTTGCCTATTTAGAGCACTCAGTTTATACAGTGACCATATATTTAACATATTAGTTACTTGTGTGCTCAGGTAAACAAAGCTGACAAGAATATAAACTTGCAACGACTTAGTCTGCAATCACATCTTGATTTACACAACTGCTAACAGTGATTCAGGCTTGTGACTCCTGACCTGAAAGAATTAGACTAATTTACCTTTGCAATACAGGAGCATGAACAACATTCTTGAGGTGATACGCTGAGATAATTTCATTATTAACAACTTTCTTCATTTGTTGCTCTGTGTAGATGTACAGAACTCAAAGATTTGTTACATCATATTTATCCGTTTTCATTATCAAAGGTGTAATCTGTATCATTCATGATTTATGTGACCACTTTCAAAAAGTAAAAATGGCAAAACCCACACAGTAATGCAAAAATATATTCTACAGCATGTAATTGAAATAAACTTTTATTTTTTTTCTCATCTGGCTTAATCAGAAGCTGTTTTGCTCAGGAAGCTCAATAAGTTAAATCTAAAGCCTTGTTTATAACTATGCTGGCCCTTTTCACAGTGCCTGGGTACAGCTGTACAGTTGTAAGTGGTGTGATACTGACACCATTATCTAGCAGTTTAACACACAATATCTATATATAAAAAAATTAAATATTGAGTATCATTATGTACAATGGAGGCTTGAAGCACCATCTAGCTGGAGATGGACAGAACTAAAAGACCACCAAGTAGCTAAATCAACCGAGTTGATTATACTTTCTAACTTCGTTATGACCCAGAGTATTGGGTCATTACCAACCATACTGCAGTGTGGTTGCAATATGTCTAGGAATAAAATCAGAATTAATCTTTCTGAGCTGCCCAAGTCACTCTTAAATGTACTGGGTTTGGATGTACTGGTTACTTCCCCGGAGCACATCAAAGATGCAGTGGCATTCCCCTTGGTTAAAATGAGTTAGCAAAACTGCCTTTGTGGAGGGTTCTTGAACAGTTCATATCCATCCCCACATCGCTAACCACTTGGAAACTTTATCTAATTAAGTTTCTTTTCACTTGTCCTCATTAATGAGTGGACACAGTACGGAACCAAGGCAACTACAGTAAGGGGCATAGCCGCACTCTTACAAAAAGAGAGAATGTAGAACAAATACTCAGTATGAGTAGGTATCTTAATGAAATTATACAGCTGCAGTGTAGCTAAAGAAGCAGCTATACACAGTACACGGAAACTTATCTTACAGCTATTTTTACCTTTGCAGCTCGTGATGAACATTTCAGAATTAATTCCAAGACCTAAGCCAAAGAGTGCACCTAAATTCCTCACCAGTCCAGCAAAGGGAGTTGTGTCGATGTTTATCCAGTCTGGGTTGGCACACCACTTCTTGGCCTTTGGAACAGACCACAGCAAGTCAATGTCTAGAAGCTTGAGGACTAGATAAAAGCCAAGGGCAAAGATGAAAAGAAACAAGTTTGTCTTGATGTACATTCTCAAGCTTGCTGTCTGAATAGCAGGAGTGTGCTCAAATGCTGCTGCCACAAGAATCCCTGTGGATTAGAAACTTGGTGTTACAGGGAACAACACACTCGTACTTTGAAGAAGCACTTTTTACAGTGCCCCTGTAGAATGTGACTTTTGAAGACTGTATAATATAACTATGTATTTTACACACATGTGTATATATACACATACGCACACCCAATTTACCACTTCTGTAGTGTAGTACAAAACCTTTTCTTGAGCTCAAGACTGCTAACTTGGAAAAAAGGAAATTAAATACCAAGCACTACATGTTTTTGATATGAGGCATACCTTAGGCCTGACTGCATCTCCCAGATGACAACCTATCAAATATTAGATGTAAACTAGACCGTTCCTTTTCCAAAAAAGTCCCTCACTCAAAGACTGGCCCCAGCAATGCAGAGTTCAGTACTAGTTCCCACACAGGTTTTGAGTGTTGAAGGAAAAGACACAGAACACACTTATCTTCTTTCTTGCTCATTTTACCTTGGCTGTGAAAAGGGGAGCTGGACTGCAAGCCGTCAGCCAGGGCTGCCCAGGCTGCTCTGCATCCATGAAAGAGAACGGGAGCAGGCAGTCCCTGCTCAACCCTCTGGTCACCCTCCTTAAAATCAGACAGATACAGAGATTGTTCATAGTTTGAACTCCCTAAATACCAATTTGAAACAAGTTTAAATAACTCTGAAAAATGCACTTTAGCTTCTTAAATCACCCTGGGGAGTTTGCACTGCTAATTTGCACTTCTCTCTGTCTTGCCCCAGGTCTCTGGCCCCGTGCCTGTCCACACTGCACACATGCTAGTCTGCACCTAGACAGCATTTGAAGTGAACCAAATAGCTTCCTCCTGAGAGGAATGGTCAGGGCCACAAAGGAGCAACTTCCTCAACTGATCTCTTCCACACAAGCAGCACAGATAAAAATCAGATACCGCCAGTACCAACCCGATAGCGCTAGTGTGTGGCAGTGTGGACATAATGCAGTGAGCATCAACTGGCACATCATAGACAAGGGCTCGCTCCCTGGGGGAATTACAAAGACAGGAGATACATACTACCTTGCAAATTTACCTTTAGACTCTCATCAAATCCTTGAGAGCAGAGAGCACCACTAAAGCTGCAAGCTGAGTAGCGCTACTAACAATCTCTTGCCTTTTCTCATATTTCATTTTGTTCAGATTTTGCACGTATGTTGAAAAGAAAATAAAAAATAGCAGCATTACCAGCAAATACTCCAAGAATAACTTGATGAGGGAAATGTGTTGCTATAAATACTCTCGAGATGCACACACTGATCTGGATAATCCAAAAAATACTCCAGAGGAATGACCATGTCAGTCTAAGAGGGAAAAGGAAGATGCTTAAAAATTAAGACAAGATATTTCACCCAGTAATTCACACCAGGGCCCTTCATGTCAGGCTCATATTTTCACCAAGCAGAGGTTTACAAGTAGAGGAGTTTAGAAACCAGATGACTAAAAAGTGGAAGTCAGTACTAAAACATTAGCAAGAGTGGTTGCTCTTGCAGCCACATCTAGGGCTGCAGGAACAGACCCCAGTGGTTTCAGGTCCAAGACACCATCCTGGTTTTAGCAATTAAAGTCACCAACAGCAAATTAAATTATCACTAGTACCTTGGAACATATTGCTCATCATGAAGTCATACTTAAATGCAAAAGTTCAATTATTTGGTGAAAAAATTCACACAGTACGGGAACAACCTTATCGGGCGTGGAAAGAACAGCCATCAAAGCAATTATAAGACTTCCCCCCAGAGCTGAGTAACATGCCACACTGAACTTTGCCAACATTATGCACATTTACTTTAAAATGGAGTAAGAAGGACTACTATAAAAGCAATACATTTACGTATTAACCAAAAGAGCCAACTCATAAAGACAACAGACTTCAAAATTTCCAACTCTGAAGATGTAACATGACATCTAATAGGAGCTGATTCAGAGATATTGTATGCAACGACTGTAAGTTAATAAATTCCAACCTATACAAATAAATAAATCTTCTTAATATTCTTCAGCTGAAGTAGAGCATAACAAAGAGTGGGTTTTGTCTTACAAACTGAACAGAACAAACTAGGAATATTTGGTTAACATAAGCCCACTAAAAACATAGCATGTCTATAAAGAAGTATCTGTATGAATTAATGAAAAGACACTGACCTGTGAAGGGTAACTGCTGATTTATCTTTCCATCTAACGGTGTAGCTAAGTGCTGCTGTGACCATTACATACCAGACGCAGGAAGATCCCATGGCATGTCCAGATGGGCTTCCTAGTAAAAACAAAAAGAAAATATTCAAGCTTAAAAATTACAACTGTAACATTTGTCATACAGAAAATGTCTACTGGCAGTTACTCAGGCACTTAATCATTTAGAAAGAAGATAATTAAAAAAGGCTGAAAGAATGTCAACTGCTTCTCAAAAGTCAATTTTCTCAATATGAATTTTTCAGAAGACTCATCTATACAGAATCCAGAATATTTGTCTGAAATCGAGTAGGTAACAGGTTAACCATCTTATATTGGTATGAGCGGGTCTCTTGATTGGAAAACAGTATTTTTCCATTACTTAGATTTGGATTGTGATTTTAAAAATAGCACATCTAGGGCTCTCTTAGGGCTCTAGCATGTAATGTAGACCTTATATATGAGGATTAGATGAAATAGGTTTTGAATGGGCTACCTCATAATTAAGAGAAGCAACAGAGATTTGGCTCTTTGTAACATTCTAAAGTACTGGTATAACTTTAGATGGTCCTTCCAAAACACCTTTTATCTGCTTCTCCAATCACCTTGGCATTAGCAATTGAAATTGTGATATAGGTCTCATTACTAATATTACAGTCCAGGTAATTCACATTTTAGGCAGTTTTGTAATAAATTTAGAGATGTATCTGAAGTGTGATGGAAGAACTGTGTCTTTATGCTTTGATTTGATTTATTTTATGAATTTTAAGGTGGCGTGCAATGTCAACTAGGAACACACTCATACAGAGTTCAATAGTGATTTCTTATTAATCCTGGTATAATACTATATGTGTAATTTGTTTTAATTTAACAAATAAAATTTTAATTTTACTGGAAACAATATGAAGCCACAGAGAAGTTCCTACACCTGTGAAATCACCAAAAACCAAAGTATGATGCAGGGGAAACAATTCCTAAAATTACTGTTACTTCTTTCCCCCCGTTCACCAGGGTTTACTTTCAACAAATTGATATAGGGAAAGAGAGAACATTAGATCATTGGAATCTGTCTATACCAGACTTTTACAGCATGGCTTTCTGTGGAGACAAAAGAGAAGTAAAAGGGACAGGGTTATTTCACTGGTAGAAGGAACAATCTTGGCTGAAGAATGTCCCGTGACCCAGCACTATACAGCAGTCCGCAAGGCAAAAGAATATTTAAGTGAAGCAGCAAAGCAGGAACATCTAGGGAGGTCAAGCACAATGATTTCTGGCTCCCTGCACTCATTTTTGGTATTCTGCTTGGCAGTATCTTTAGTAGTGATGCTACCAACAATTTGGTTGATTTCATAACAGACGTACACTTCCAAACCTCACAATAGATCAAATGTCACTGGTAAGGAAACCACAGTGTTGTATATCGGCATTGGGAAAACTTCTCTTTGTTGTCATCTAGGAAAAGTGTCTCATAGTTCATCTGCAAATTACATACTAGAAACAGCATAAACTCCGCCTTAAGGTTTATGTTCTTAAAACCTTACAAATATCAGAGAAAAGATGGTTGCAAGGTTTTAGTTCAGTTCACTCCAGAAGTACAAACCAAATTCAGGTCCTAGATTGCCTGCCATGTAGTCATATAAACAGTTCCCTGAGCTTTCCCTTTCGTTGAGCCGCAGAGTTTGGGGTTCAGGCTATCCTAGCAATATTTGGATATGCCCTTCTCACATCTGTGGCGGCTTCTCTAATATTTTCACATAAATTGCATATCTTAAAAGTGTGTGAAGTACCATGTAAGCTCACACAATGACTGAACAGGTGAATAACAGATATTGTCAATAGTCAAAGGCAAATCTGGAGAAAGAAAATGTGGTCACTGTAAGTGCAAATGACGAATCAAAATGCCAGTGGTACCCACTGGATAGAAATAGGAATGACTTATTACTTCAGGAAGAAAGTAATAGGTAGAAAGGCCTTCTGATTCATTGAACCAAATGAAACACATGGACTAGTTCCTTAGCCAGGGCTTGGAATTACCTGGCACCAAATAGGCTTGGTTCTGAAGACTTTTGAAAAGATCTGATGGACTATAACACTTTGGGTTAGACTGCAGATCACATATAGACCAGGCATTATTAAATCCTGCCTGAAACAAGGGCTTAAGCTTCTCATTCAAAATTACAATGGGATATAATGCAGGGTATTCTTAACAAAATACAGCTCTGCAAACCACTTAAAAACTTCCAGTGGCATTGACGAGGCACAAAGCACATTCATTTCCACAGTCAGTATGTTCTTATACAAGGAATTAAACTAAATTCAGTCAGTTAGCTCCAAGCAAGTTTACCTTCTTTCACATATTATGGCTGCACAAGCTCATTTAACTTAAGCAGTATAGCATCTGAATTCCACAGAGAAGATAATGAGATATAAAAAAAGTGAAAATACAGTGAAAAGGTACATTTTTTTAAATAAAGTTATTTTTCCACATATTTGTACACATACCCACCCACACACATTCAGTGCCAGTGTCTGGTTCTGGGAAGAGGGTTTCCATTTTCTACCAGTGATACATTACATGATCGATCGTCCATACTATTATTATTTACACTGAACCCCCTACTAGGTTTCGTGGCTTTAATAATTCTTCCAATAGTACACAAGCCCGCAAACTCAATAGCTCCCTGCTCTGTTTTGGAACACTCTTAAACAACGTGGAATTTCTCTCCCCAAGATGACGTCATTGGCACTGCAACTGTTCTGAAAGTGACCTCACAAAGCAGGTGAATCACTCTCTCTGAACTTATGACACAAGTTTTGTGAGAATTCCTTTCCAATATGCTGGTTCATTCTAGGAGGAGTTATTTTTAAAGCAAATCCTCCTCCCTTGTGCTGTTTAAAGGCAATGAAGTAAACATTCTTGTCATACAGCAATCAAATACCTATCACATTTTATTTCTTCCTTTTTTCCTCATCCTGTGTTTTGGTGCTATTTTAAACATGAGCTCTGACATTTGTGTATCATATAAGATCTTCATAAGTCACATCCTCTCCCCCAAAAGCCACTGTCTCTATTAAATGTACCAATGTAATCTCCAACATTTCTTACCTGGTCCAGTTTCACATGTTATAGGAAACTGTTCAAGGCATGGGCTTGACTGATTGGGATAAATCATTGTTTCTTGCACCCACCAGTATGGGCGATGGCCAAATAAAATCCTGACAAAAAAAAAAAAAAAAAAAAAAAAGCAGAAATGCAATAAAAAGATTTTTATGTAAGGCGGCCTCAGCAAAGCATGATAAATAATCTCACAATGAATATGAAGAGCGATATTGCCAAGACTATTCTATAATAGTTCTACAGGTTCTTCCTGCCATATCAAAATGTCATTTCAAACATATCTTAAATATCTTCATTCTGAATTCCTGTTTTATAATTACAGGGGAAAGTCTATTAGTACACTATTCACAGAAATTTTTCTAAACTTGAGGCACATCATTAAAACCACCAAATTTTAAAATAAATCCAACTTCTTACCATTTAAATATGAGGTTGAACCAATCACCAATGACTGCCACCCATATCATTTTAGTACCAACCACTTGGTTGAGCTGAAACCAAAGAGGAAAATAAATTGAGAATATATTCCGGGGATCGCCAACATGTGACATAAAATTAAGGAAATCCTGGTAAGCCCTGTAGTCCCTCTGTAAATGCTGAATGATAAGCACGCCATTGCTATGAAGGAGATCCATCTTAATGAATTAAACTGTACTTGAAATATAGTAAAGTTCCTTTAATCTTAAGTTTCTAGTGATGGAGACTAAGAACTGTGGAGGGGAGCTATTAAAAAGTGAGAGAAGGTGATTGACGTTGCCTTTATATTGTATCGGTGTGGTGCACCCAGCCATTCCTGGAACACGTGGCTCCAAATCTCCAGGAAAGCACACGAGCCTCTTAGCACTGGAAAGCTTTTCTGTTTGTAAATTTTAATTGGAGGAAACTAAGTGAAGTACATGCTGAGCAGCAGCAAATTGTGGGGAAAGTTTTGTCGAAACACAATGCGTGACTTACGCAATCCTTTGTATGAACAGTTGGAACATGTTTGCTTGAATTTTTTCACAGTTCATTTCTCCGCAGGATGGACATTAGTAATGTGTATACTTCATTAAGTGATGCCTGTATAAAGGATAGAAAGAATACACAAATAATTGGTCTTTGCAGAACTGTCATTAAAGCTGTACATTTCACTTTGAAATAGAATTTGGCTACCTTGCTGCGTCTAATACTTCGCACAACACATTCTCAGTCATGGAAAATACAACCAGCATCTGTACATCAACAATGCTGTCGAGCTGTAGACTCTTTTTTAAAGCAGCAATATTCTCAAAGCACTGAAAAACAATTGTTTCCTTCATACAAGTGTTAATCCAGGGCACAGTGCAGATGAAGTTTAGTCTCCGAGTCATCTCATTCAGCATCGCCATTCTCGTGCATGGCTGACAGGAGGCAAGCCCTGCCCGCCTCTGCGGCAGCAGATGACCTGCGGCAGCCCCCCGTGCTGCCAGCCTCGCAGAAATGAGACCCGCTTCACAAACCAGAGCAGGGCTGGGAACAGATGATGATGAGTACTTCCGTAAGTACTCCCAAGTGAAGCACTTGGCTTCTCCAGGGCAAAGAGCCAAGAGGAAACCGAGATTCTGCCAGATAGCAGGATTCTAGGAGTATACAGCAAATACTGTACTAGCACATCAGACTTATTGATATTAATACTAATAACTGTAGCACAGGAAAAGATTATGTTCATTTGTGAGGTGGCTACATGAAAAACTTCTTTCCACAAGAGATTAAATTGATACCAAAAGTCTGATGATGCCATCATCTGATATCATCGGAGCAGCAAGAGAAAAACTTTAGTTCTTTATCAGGCTCTAATGTTCAGACATATTCATATCTTCTATTAAAGATTATCTATGTATCTGTAACCATTAAAATCAGAAAACAAAACCAGCGCACCATGCACTTCCCTACTGTTTTCTCCATGGCACTTAAAGCTAAACTATACAAGCTGTGGAGACGATACAAACTACTTAACTGTTTTTGCTGAAGAGAGACTTAACAGGGCTTTATGCTGTGTGGTCAGGGAAGTCACACGGAAACATCAAGTATATTCAACAAATAAGGCATGGCAATTAAATGGACTTGGAAGACCTTTCCTCCTGACACAATCTCACATTTACTTTAGGTACTCACATTTACTTTAGCTATTAATAGTCTGGTTTTAGAAACTTTTTAGCAGATTTAAATCTTTTATGTTTATTGCTACCAGTCGCATTGAGCCATGTAGAAAATCTTACGGATTTAAAATTCTATGCACTGTTTCTGAATAACTACTACAGTATTTTTCCTGTACATTAACGGAATGATTCACTTCAACTGGTATCACCTGATTTTGAGGAAAACCCTTCCAAAACCAAGACTTCAGGTTATCTCAACAATAAATGTTTCCTAGTTTTTTAGCTGCAAATATCTGGGGAGGTTTGTTTCTTGCTAAGCCACATTGCTTATAGCTTTTTAGTGTGTCCAGCAAGGTAACTGTCATAAATGAACTGATGGAATTAATTTTCCGTCTCCCAGTGAATTCCCAAAAACTTACTCATTTAGAAACACCTCTCTCAAATAACTTTTTATACCTTATTACTAGAGAAAATGTCCTTTTGCTACTTTTTTTTTTTTCCTGAAAAAGTATCTATCCTTTAAAGATAAGTGGGACTTACAATAACAACAATAAAAATCACCCTTTTATACATGTCTGTTTAGTATGCAAAAATATTTATAAAGAATAATTAGCTTTAAACATGAGTGTAACTGTCAAGTTGGTGGCTGAGTAACAGCCATCTTCCAGTACTTAGTTAAATCAGCAACTGCAATGAGGTTAAGTCTAAATAACTACTGTTCTATTAGGAAAAAATATTTTGCAATAAGTAAGTTTCTATCAAGGTACAATTTATTGTCCTCAGGAGAATCTACCAGGTAATAAAATAGATTGCCTTCCAGTCCCTCTTTAACGCAAACACTGTTATTCAACAGTATCAGAAACATTGCTTCTCTGGCACAGGATGTGCAGAACCACTGCAATAACTTTTTGCATGCCTGTTTTACTTATAAATATGAAAACACCCACCCATGGTATGCACTGAGATAGCGCTCCATCTCCTCAGGCTGAACCACTCTTCAGACAGAACCACTCAAGCACACTTTGGTTCTCCAAAAACTTCATTAATATAATGTTTGAAGGTATGTCTTGGCAACATTTCAGTAAGGTAACCTCTTTTTGTATAAATGCTAAAGGCCTCCTGGTAATAATTTTCCTTTTAAAGATTTTGTTGCTGATTTATATGATGCTAATTGTCTTTCTGCTTAGATAGAAAGATAAGCACCTTAGACATAATGAAGACTAACAGCTAACAGCAAACATAAATAAGCTTTAATTTTCTTCTACATTCTTTCTGACTGTTTCAGAAGCTCCTACATCCACATTTTAGATAGACCAGAGAAGTCATGCTTATAAAAGATGTTTAAAAAAAACCCAAACAAATTTGTCTACAAAACAGAAAGCAGTTAGTTTTTGGAACAGGTAAACAGGTTTCTGTGAGAGAGGCAGTTCAGGTGATATTCTCATTGTGCCTGGAAGCACTCCTGATCTTGCTTCATCCAACAAGCAATCAACAGCTGATGTATGAGTCATCTCCTGTCCTGCCTGGGATATTTAGCAACCTATAAAAGTCTGAGACACTAAAGTCTTTCCCAGCTCTAGTAACCAGCAGAGAAAAGATGGCAAAACATGTCTTGAAATACTATATTTAATAACCTGTTTAAACTAACAAAGGAGAAATACTTCCTCAATACGCCTTTTTCCCCCCTCCTTTTCTATGCAAAGCACTGCCAAATTCTTCTGTAATGCACTTAGCCTTTTAAAGTCACTTGAGGTAATATATGAAATAAAACTATTTGCTGTATTTTAGTATGTGGAATTGCAAGGAAAACTAGTGATCTGTACAAAATGGTCAGAATGTGCACGCAATTAGGTTTTTAATCAAAGATTTGTCTTGTTTTGCTGTTATAGAACCAAAGTTTGGCCTTCACATAAGCAAATGAATCCTCAGTACAAAGCAAAAACCTTTAAAATGTGATCTGTTCACATAAGGAGTTTTTAATTTATTGGTATTTTCTTATTTTCCCAGACATACAAAACCAGAGACTATCCAAAACTCTATATATTCTTTGTAATATTAGAAACAAGAATCATGTTGAAGATCCACTGAAGGGAGGATAAAATGTTTACAGCTACTTTATACCTACATATTAGAGCAAATATTACATAACGGATATCAGATGTTGTTAAGCAAATGTTTGCAAGGGAAGGAAAAGCCATCAAAGCAAACAATTCTAGAACGCTGTTAATGGAGGCCTATGTACTGGGCCTAACTTTCTGGTACATTATGCTTAGTTAATTGAACAATAACATTAATTTCCACATCAGTGTTTTCATTGGCACTGAACCAGCTACAAGGATTAACTAGCAATTTAGTAAGTTCACAGGTAGACACAGTGAACAACAAGTGACACCTATTTTCTTAGGTATGAATATTTTCCAAATGGAACACTGAAAAGATATATCTTAATTTTAGATTTAGGAAGATAAGAATCTTTCAAGAAGCTCTTTCTTTCCATATTTCATTCCCTCAGGCATTCCTCACTGGACTCAGGCAGCCCTAGTTAAGGTCAGGCTTCTGTAGGGCTGGACTGAGCAGCAGAAGTTTAGCAAAATGCTAACTCAAACCACTTGCTTTCTCTTGGTTCTGCCACCTTATTAATCTAATCTTTCCTAGTTACTTACACTGTTATTATTCTTTGCTATAAAGTTACCTATGCACATATAGGAAACTAACAAACCTCATGTTTGCAATATAACAGTAAGTGCCAGACCTTAATGCTTTTTATTTGTGTGTGTTTGTATGTGTAATAGTGTAAATGATACAAACAGTGCATGGAATTCAATTCTGGCATGTTCATGAAAACATCACATCTATAGAATTCTAGTTATCATTTTAAGTATGAAGAGCTACTTTTTAGAAACTACAAGCAACCTAGGCTTTAACAGTGAATAAAAGTCTTTCAAATTCCATAAACTGCAAACAGAAATGGTGTCTAGACACATAAGGGCAACAATCTCCACTGCATTTTTTTTTTATTCCCTTTCCAATAAGATCACTGTCTTATTTATTGCCTTTCTCTAATCCCTGAAACCAGCCCGATGACAACCATAGCCCAGTGAGGTTAGGAACCTGCCAAGAGAAGTAGCTGAGCCTGTTTATTAGCACCAGCTCTTCAATTTTCTTCCCTTATCAGTTTTCACTGAAACTGCAGCAGCTCTCTAACCATGAAATACAGCTCTCAGTGACCCCTTAACCCAGCACTGGAATAGCCCAGTATGTACTTTGAGCTAGCAATAAAATAAAGCAAGAGACCTCTGTTGACAACAGCCCGTCCTTCCGTTTGATTGCAGGTTAAATGTCACCCTGCTGCTGTCATTGCACATCTGAGAACCATACATTTAACCAAGTATCCTAGGGTTACAAGGAGACCCACGAAGAGCTGGCAAATGCAGAAAAGGGGTACATGGTACAATTACATTGTCTCCATCAAAACTCATCGTGCTAGAAACAGCATATATTGCTGTTGAAACTTTCTTCCATCCATGACTACCCTGTGGCTTGCTACAACAGACATTTGGAAAAAAAACACTTCAGAACAAGCATTTGGATTAGAGCTATGGTAGGGTTAGGTGTCAGCTTTTCTGATTATGGAGCATCTTGAATCTGACCTAACGGAGGATTTAAGAAGCTAGTTCGAGTCATGAGGCCACATTTCTGTTTGTGGTGGGTAAGAGCTGTCAGTTTGACCAGAAAACCAGTACCTGCTAAAATCACCATGCTCCCTTTGAACATGCAGTTGTTAAGCTAATTGTGGAGAGAGTTTGTAGTGGGTAAGTAAGGTTGAAGATAGGCTACACTGTAAGTTCACGTCTCTAGAAAACTCAGAAAGGACTCCCAAATCTGTCAGAAAAAAAGATCAATTAAGGTATGGATTATGCTAGTAAATGTCACAGGCTATATTTAGTCTTTGGCTGGTGAATGTTTAAAACAAAGGAATAGGACCAATGAAATCTAGAGAAACTTCACTGATGAAAAAAGATGCCTAACATTTCGGAGCTAGTGCCAGCTAATGTGGGGTGGACTTACTATCTATGTTAACAAAAGGATTCAGGAGAAACTAGACTGAAGAACCCACCAAAAGATTGTGGATTAGAGTTCAGGATTTGTTTAGATTAGTTGAACTTGTATTTGCAAAACTCCAGGGTCTGGGAAAATTGTGTACTTAGAAAGTTATGGGTTCCAATAACAAAGGCTAGAGATGTCAGGGGCAACATTTAAACTTTATACTGGCAGCATTCACCTAGGTTTAAGGTCTGATTGGGAAAAGGAGAAAAATGGTCTTAGTTAAAAAATCCATAAGGTATAGGCTCCATAATACCCAAATTTCTATGTGGCTAGGTAACTATGCTTGAATCAGGCCAGCTTCCATACATTTCAATCTGAAACAGATAAGAAACAGTGGTCTAATAATTAGTTTTAGGACTAATGTTGAGGAAACTGTGAAATCTGGAAAACAGGTGTCTTAATCAAATGAGATAGAAACACAGTTGGGTAGAAGTGCCATCCACCAGTAGTAACAGCTTATGCAAGAATAAGGCAATTAATGGTGCTGGTGCCATAATGCAATTAATGCTGAGCTGGTGGCCACAGCTCAGGCTTTGCTTTGTGTCTGGTGGGGAGGGGAGAGAAGAGTAATTAATGGTTTTAGGCAGCAATCCTCCAAGCTTTACCAAGTTCACATTATTCTGAAATAATCTAAACAGCACTGAATTAAAGCTAGGATAAATTACCTATCGTAACAAAATGATTAGTAAATAGCTTCCATGAGAAACTGAAGGCTGGGACCTGGGATTACAAGCTAGTGCTTATCAGGAGCCAAAAGAGAATATGCTCAGCTGGAGGGAGATGAGGCGCAGTGCGGTAAGGGGGGGACAGAGGCTTATCACAAGTATGTGACTGGGCACAGGCAGGGCTGCTGTGCTGTCCTCTTGTTCGTACCAAAAAGGACTGCAACTACCTCTGCATGCCAGTCTCCTACCATGAAGGTCCTCCTGAAAAGCTGTATTTTTATGACTTACCCATCATAAAGACAGGTAAAGAATTCCACGCTCACGAGATAATTCAGGCGTGTCACAGAACTCACGGGTAGGTTACCTCAAGTGCGTTCCGTGAATAAACGAGGCACTGGAAACGAGTTCTGGCTTCAGAAGAGCGGAGAGGAGCTCGTTTGCTCCGCAGTTCAAGCCCGGTTTCGTTCAGTGCGCAGCAGTAAACCGCACTAGGCCTCTCCCCCCGGCCCCACTCCCCACGCTCCGGCCAGCCCGGCCGCCGCGGCCCTGACGGGCGCTGGGAAAGCGGTTCAACCCCCCGGACGGGGCCCAGGGGAGCAGCGGGGTCATGCCACCGCCACCACCCCCGACCCGCCCGCCCGCTGCTCCGCCACCGCCCGCCCCGGGGGGCCCCGCCCGTCACGGCCGTTACCACAACAACGCCACCGCCAGCTCCCAGCGCGCCCTGCGGCTCCAGCCGCGTCAGGAAGGGTGGCTAGGCCAATCAGAAGCGCGCTTGTTGCGAGGTGGGCGAGAGGCGGGGTCCACTCAGAAAGCGGCCGTTGGGGAGGCGGGAAGGCGCTGGCGGTTTGAAGGTTGGTGGGTGCAGGCCACTTCGGTGTCGCCGCCTCGCGCCCTGTCCCGCTCCCCAGACTCGGCTCGACTCGACTCGGCGGGAACGAGGCGGCCGCTGTTCGCGTCTCGTCGGGCGGGAGAGGGAGGAAAGTCCCCGTCCGCCCCTCGGCCCAGCACCCCGGCGGCGGGAGCCCGGGCCCGGGGCTGCGGGCACCGGGCACGGTCAGTGCCGGTCCGCCTCCTGGCGCCCAGCACCCGTCGCTGGCGGCGCAGCAAACGAAGCGGGCCTCCCGCTGTTACTGTTCGCTGTGGTAGAGGTAACAACAAAAACCTACGAGGAGAGGTTTTAGCAACAACCTGAGGGGATAAAAACAGCCCTGAAGGCTCGTCCTGGAACTGTGAGTTATAACTGCTGCGATTGTCTTGTGTGCCTTGACGTTGTATTTATTCACTTTAGTGTTTGCTGCAGCGCTATGGCTAATATAAAGACAGAAGATGAAATAATTCTCTTTGAAAGAGAGATGAAAGAGTTTTGGACCAAATTAAAAAGCGTTTATGGCACTGAACAGATCAGTCAGACTCTGGCACTGAGAGATTCATGCAAGGAATCCATAAAAGCACTTTCAGGTAAAAAGACTATGTTCCCGCTACCTCTATTTTTATCAAGTTATCATCGAACTTCTTCAGATAACTGAAATAACTTTCTACTACAGAGAAGTGGTCCAAGAAGCTGAAAGAAGGGGACCTGATGATTGATAAAATTCAGGAATATAGCAAGGGTACAGTATGGTGTTCTACTTTTTTACATTTCTAAAATTAACTTACTTTAGCTGAATAAAATGTTTAACTGCCCATTTTAAAAGGTAAATAATAACATTAGAATAAAGATAGAATTAAACCCAAACGTATTTGGTTACAGGATGTAAGTTGCTAGTCAAAAGCAATTTGTTGGAAAACTTAATTGATGGTGCAAAAAGATAAAGGTCTGGTAAAAGTTTTCTGGATAGTGGTTTTGGTGCTTAACTATTTAAAACAACAAAGTGTCAGAACTTGCTGATTGTAATAGGAAAAGTAAATCGCTTAGTAAAGTTAAATACTGTGAGGTTAATAATGCCTCTTCCATATTAGTAATAAAATACAGTCAGCCTATCAGTCTAGGATTAACTTCTCTGAATTTTGTAGTCTAACTTCAGCATATCAGGTAAAAATAATTGCAGCTCTAGTATCAGTCAGTGTTTCTATTCCTTGCTTTCTGTCAAATTATTTGTCTGCAGACAGGATTTACCATCTTCCTGCTTTGAAGATGTGTGAGAAACAAATTGCATCTGATTGATGTATCAAAGGAGCTCCCTACTTTGTAGCTTCTTTTGAATAACTTTCACTTTAAGCTTTTATCTGACGTTTTTAGTAGAGTTATACTGACTTCTCTCTTCAGCTGAGATACCACGCATTTCACTAGGTTTTATTCAAATAAGTAATCTCAGACTTTGCAGATAAATAGTAAATAGCAGGGACCTAGTTAATGAACTGTATATGTTCATATTTTCCTGCCTCCTTTCAGAGATTCTCCAGCAGAGCCAACGCATATCAGAAAATCAAGAGCATTTGACAGAAATAAAATCTAACCTAAATCAAGAAGAGGTGCAAAATAAGGACTTGACTGACAGCATCCAAGAGCTTAAAGAAGAGTTGATGAAGAAAAAGGAAAGTAAGCAAGCAAAGGATAAGTAAACTTTCTTGATTAGAGGAGGAATTGTTTTCAACACTTGCTCTTGATGGGCTTTTCTAGTGTTCTAAATTTTTTTTATGTTCTTGCTTTACATTTACTGTGATATTTATGGTGGCTTTTAAAATTCTAGTAATATCTTCTAAAAACAAAGCCACTAAGGAGAGAGTGGAACGACTGTGCAAGTCTAAAGTACTGTTTGAAGAGCGGCTTGGATTGGAGATATGCAGAATTAACAGTAAGTGTCTGTAGTTTCCATAGTTTCATTTCTGTGATGCACGTGTTAGGCATTGTCACTCAAATGGCAAAATATGGTATGTGAAAATGCATTTTTCTTTGAAAGAGACTCGGGTTGTTTAATTTTAAATGTTCTAAGAATATTAATTGAAACCATAGCTTCATGTTGTGATTTTTAGTCATCATTGTGACTCTCCAGCAGAGGTTAATGGTGTTAATTCTGTTTGTGTTTGCTTTAGATGAACAATTACAATTTATATTCAGACACATTGACCACAAAGATCCTGACAAGCCATATATGTTTACCCTTTCCATAAATGAACAGGGGGATTATGAAGGTATGTGAATTTTGCATATTTAAGCAAGAGGACAGAATCTGATGACCCTATTTAAAAAAAACAAAACAAAAACAAAAACGGGGAGAAGAATAAAGTGCAGTTTAGTTGTAATCTTTTGTCTTCCAATTTCCAAATGAAAAATCTTGCAACAGTAGTATTTTTTTTATATGGAAATACAACTGCTTATCTTCATTCCCCTCCAGTTATGGACTTGCTGTTTACTTTGTATGAAGCAAAGCAGGTGAGAGAGATGCTTCAGTTTGTTTCTTCTTTGTGCCAACAGGTGTATTTCAACCTGTTTGAAAAGCCTAGAGTGCAGAAAAAACTAGGTTCCCCACTATTGTGAGGAACCCTTACAGTTGTGTCACACAGGCGAAAGATTAAAACTTTAAATCCAGCATTCCTCTTCTGTAAGGGTACAGCCTTTCAGATCTTGAAGCTGGTTTTGCAGTATGGATCTTACTTTGGTTATGAAGAGCAGCAGTGGTAATCGGAGTACTGTGCTGAGTAGCTTCTACATGGATGCTACTGTTGCTCTGCTATGACTCTAGTTATTGACTGAATAGATTGCTGTTTTTACTAATTCAAATCTAAACTGTGCTGAAGTTAAAAGTTTATCACATGCTGGCCTACATCAGTTTTCAGCCTGCCTGCCTGCCGAGAAACAAAAATATTTAGGAATGTGTTTTGGTTTTTGAGCAAGCTATGTATTGCTGGGAATTGCTGTAACAATTCAGGCAGGAGCACAGCACTGAGAGGGAAGTCTGGAAATAAAAAAAAAAAAAATGGTGCTCTTTGAGGCTTTATCTTTGAAAGAAAATGTTTTAATAGGCTAGTCAAAAACAATACTGGAAGAAGGGAAAACGTACAAAGATAACAAACTACATTTGTGTTTCGTAAGCATGGAAAAACACTAATATTGATTTTTTTTTTTTTTTTTTTTTTTTAATATATAATTGTCTAATCTTTTGGAAATTTGTGTCATTTTAGTGACTTCCTGTACTCCTTCTCTGGACTGTATAGCAGAGTTCCAGCTGAAAATGAGAGAAACTAACAATTTTTCTGCATTTGTTGCCAACATCAGAAAAGCTTTCACTGCTTTATCTTATAAACAGTCTGCATAAAACTAGTGTATACCTCTCTAGCTGTAGAACACTCTCTTCTTTCCTTCCTGTATTGTGAAAGTATGTATTTACCCATGTCTTACTCTAATTTCTAAATAAAGAAAAATAATGAAAACGGTATTTTAGTCCGCTGTCATCTAGAGACAATTTGGATCATTCTTTTGACAGTATAATCAACTACTTCCTTAACTGTATATCTCCAGACATGTAATTTTGATCCAGTAGCAAGCAGCTTAATGATGTGATGATCTCTCTCAAGCTACTGCAGGAAGATATTTAAAATAAAGTATTTTCTGTAATTTGTGTCTCTTCTAAAAGTGTAGAAGTGTCTTTCAGGTTGTGTGGGGTTAGAATAGGCCTGAAGCCTACCAAAATAATGCCCTGGAGCTTGGCAATGACTTCAGTTACTTGTGTCACAGGTCACTACCTTTATTTTTTTCCCTGTCTTGTATTCTCCAGTGTTACCACTCATTTTCATGTATGTAAATCACTGGTTTGGTCTGTTTAGCTATATACTTTATTGCCTACTTCAGATTCCTGTCTGGATGCCTATTTCTGTTGTTAGTTACAAAACCATTTGATGTACATGCTATTATTGAATAAATATCTTAAAAGGAGCAAGTAGGTACTTTCTATTGATTTGATGAGAAATCCTAGAGACCTGAACTAGAACCCAGCTGTAGCCCAGAGGTTCCTGGCTTCCAAAACTCCCAGATGGGCAGAAAAGCTGGCCTGAAACTTGAACTGCAGTGGTGAATGAGTAACATGCATAAGATTTCCAGCCTCTGTTTTACTGGGTATGTTTTAGAACAGTAGTCATTTTGCTTTGTTACATAAGCATGTTGCAGTGGAGGACTACTTGTTGCTGGAAATCCTAAGACATCAAAGCCTGAAGTATTACATATTAAAGTATAAAATGTAGTAATTACATATAAATCATTTGTGTCTTTTCCAGCTTATCAAGAAGACTAGTACTGCCACAGTACTCAGCTTTGATTAAAACTATTATTTTTCATTATTCTGTGTAAAGCCTTTTCCTTTTCACAAAATATTTGAATGGGTGGCTGCAACTAGCAATACAACTTTATTTGATAATATAACTTAGTTCAAATAAAATCTTACTGAATTCAGTCCTGGAAATTCTAGTGAAGTAAAAGACCACTTGAACACTAAGGATGATCCCTCTCAAAACACAAATACCTAAGTTCATAAAAATTAAATATAGTGTAAAGAGTAAAAATATCCAACACAGAACACCCTGTGAAAAAGTACTTTGAATTCTAGAATTTCCTAATCAAATGAACCCTTTAAAATATCTTTTTGAAGAATGTTCCAAATTGTTTTTCAATAAAAACAAAACTTCAGAATACTTTCTGTGAAGTGAAAATTCATTTAAAATAACACTCAAAGCACCTGTAAACAGAGCCCCCTGTTTTTCCTCTGAGATGCTAGTTCAGTTAACTTTCAATTTCTACAGCATGTACCCACATCAGCATTTTTTATCAGGAGTGGCCTTTTGGAGTGAATCTGATTCTCACCACTTTGGTTCACATCTCAAATGCAAACTGCATTCCTTTTGGAAGGAAACCCAACTGGGAGATGCACATGTAACACATTCCTGCTGTTAATGTTACGTCGTCCATAGGACAGACCAGGGCTGGTCCAAACCAGCATTTGGTGCAAATGTTACTCTTCACATTTACTAACATAACTACAGCAGCACTCGCTGTTCTTCCCCAGCCTATAACCCTATGCTCGGATAAAAACCCAAAACATCCCCCCTTACCCTTTTATGCCTTCATCAGCTTTTTAATATGAAAGACCTGGCCACTTAGGCATGTTTAAATCTGGTGATGCTGACAAAATACTCAGTACAGTTGAGAATATTGCCCAGTCAGATAGGAATTGTATTTTAAATCGCTTGGTTTGTCTAAATTTAACAGTACAACTTGCTAGATACAGTATAGACTATGTATGCAATCTTCTATGAGATAGCTGAAGTGCATTTTAAAAAACAGTAACTCATACTAGCTCTGAAAAGAAATAACCTTCCATTTCTTCCCTGTAGGGCATAATTTGCTATTTTCTAAATAATGCATAATTTTTCTTGGTATGCCCTATTGATTTTTTTTTCTTGTGCTACAGCCAGCTATACACAAAACAAAAGCAGGAAGCATGGTAAAGGAGCTAACTGATTACATTACAATTTTAGAACAGAATGGCAGCAGAGATGACTAGGCGTTTCTGTAGTGACATCTCAAATGAAATACATCAAATTCTGCCCTGTCCATAAACCCCACGTACTCTCAGAGAATTTTGTAACTGACAATGGAACAAACAGGTGTAGTATGGGAGACTGCCTTCAAGCACTGGGTCTAGTTGTTCATTACCAGATCTCGCCTCCTTTTCAACCATACTAACAGGAAGGTTTAAGTGGCAGGTATTTCTTTCAATTAATTGCTTCTACCACCAAAAGAACGCTGTAGGCACTTTTGTGTAGGCCAACAGACTAACAAGTAATTAAAAAAAATGCATTCAGCCAGCTCTGCACTTCCCACTTCTCCCTCCTCTCCCAGGAGCTGTAACTGCTGTATTACCCTGCTTTGTTGGCATCTCCTCGTACAGAAGTCCTCACCTTTCATGTTAGAGAGCCCATCCCTTCTGGCTTCTCACTAATGGCATCGTCCCTTTATCCACAATGACTGTATTCATTTTGAAGAATATTCCTGCCCTTCTCCATCTGCCTGTGCCAAGCAACTCTTAGTTCCTCTGGAAAGTAACTCCTTCAGGATGCTCAACCAAGTATTTTACAGCTGTTGTATGGAAGCAAAAAGACGGGCAATACGGACCCACCTCATTTCCATGCTTCCAAATGGAGCTGTTTATTCATTAAGGGTGTACATATTGCTCAGATGCACTCTAGCACATCTGATTTGTTCATCATCTTCACGGGAAAAAAAAACAAACATGCCCTGAGTATCAAAGACAAATGCTTAGACTCACTGCCTTTTTCTTTTCATGTTCATCCCAGGCATGAGTAGTTGGTTTATCGCTTCTAACAAAATTACTTTGCCAAGATTTCTATGCACAGAAGACAAAATATATGACAATCACTGCATTGGAATTTACATTCCTAGGAATTATTTCCTAGAAAAGATGATGTGCTTGGCTGTAAATGTTCTATGCATACACCTAAAGCAAGAAGTAAAGTTTGAAATGTTTATTGTGCGTAATTTAAACCTTTACAACTCCTTTTGGAGTTTGAATAACAAACCTGCTTATATTTGCCAAGGCAAATCAGATACAGATCTTATTTCCTCTAAAACAGAGCCAGGCACTCCAAAAACAGGTAAAATCTAGAAAAGTGTACACAATAGATTTGTTTCTTTGCTTATTATAGAATACAAAGTAACACTGGCTCATGACATCATTAAATCAGCCTTTATGCTAGCTGAAGATCTCTCTTAAAATCTTAAAACCTTTGTGCCTTTATCAAATGCACTTAGTGCTTATAGATTTTCACACACCTGGATCTGTGGCAATCTGGAATTTTCTATTTGTTTTGAAGCTGCACAATACAGCAATATCCAATAATAGTAGGGACAACTAGGATAATCCTACATATAGACCTAACAGATACAATTACTGGGATCCCAGTGTACTGGATAGCATACAAATACAGACTGAAATGCCCTGAAAAGCATACGGGAAAGCTCTTGAGCTCAAAAGCAACGTGCAGTTTAGGGAGTATGACACAATCAGTCAGCCCCCTCTGGTTGGTGCTAGTGCTCTACCTATTAGCAGGATCATAGGTAGCATGTCATTAAGGCAGACACAAATTTTAGTGAAGGTCAGTAAAGGCTTTTATTTTTTCATAAATCAGTTTGCCCAACCCTGAACGTTGCTTTCCCTTTCAAACTGCTGACCTGTACTTAGCTACCAAGGGTCAAGCCCGAAATGTGCGGGCCATCAACTAATGCTGATCATACAGAAAACTGCTGATGTACTGGTGCTCAGCACCTCATCAAATTTATCTTGTAATATAATGTAAAAATCTGGAAAAAAAGGTGTTGAATTTATTAGATATTGGAAATACACTGTGAATTTAAGGACTGCTGGGAAAACAAAATAATACTAAACAATAATATATGTATTAAGTGCATTTAATCGCAATTGTTGTTTGCATGTTAGCTGGAGGTCATATTTGAAAAGAAATCTAATTACTGTAAGAGTTCTTCTGGCTAACAGAACAGTTTTATTACACACCTACTCAACCAAGAGTGGAGGTGGTTAAGCTGAGTTTCTTGACATTTTTCATAAACCCTCTTGGATGTTGCTAGACATATTTTGAAAAGCAAACAAACAAATATTGGCTACACTTGTGAAAATTAAGAAAGACATGGAAGTTATGCTGTGCTTCTGTCATATTCCAATTGTGTTATATTACTTGCTGTCTTCTCTAATTCTTCAATAAACTGTGAATTTATTCAGTACCTTGAAATTGTCTAAATTATTCCTGTCATTATAATACTCTAAAATCACTGAACTCATTTGTGAGTGATTTATAGCTTTTAAAAAGTCCCATCAAACCTGATATAAAAAACATATGCACACATAAATCACTTAGTCCTGCAGGCAGATTACAGTACATTTTTTAACTGTATGAATAAACTGTACTAAATAATTATGGTTATACTCTTACCTTTTTGAAAGCAATAGTTGCAACCCAATTACATCAGGCTTTACTGCTGAAATAGGATTGTATGCCTGAAGGGTTGAGGGGGGAATGGCTCTGATCGCCAGACAGCGAGACTCCATTCTTTCTGTCCTCATTCTCCCTCATCCCTCTAACAATTATACATGAAGAGCCCTTTAAAATCTTGAGTTTATAAACAAGTTGTTCCAGCAGAAGCAGAGGTAACGAAGCCTGATTCCCTACAGATCTGAGGTTTTGTCCTTAAATGGTGCCATTCTCTTCACTGCAATATCCCAGCCCTTACTTAGTGTCCCTTGTGGACAAGAGCCAGTGCCACTCCTGAGTTACGCTAGTTTAGCTTCTGCGTGGCTGCTGCTAAAGCCACAGGACACTGGTTGCACTTTGCCTACCCTTCCTCCAGTGCAGAGCATTGATTTGTGTTTCTCTCTTTCACCTGGTTGCTGATTTTTAGTACACTGTAAGAACAGTGATAGCTGCAACACAATCTCCTTTTCAAATCTGGGCTAACTGAGCAACAAGTTCAAAAGTTGTTAGGGAGACTGACAGACTATGCTAAAACCAGTGTTTAATCATGCAAGTGTGTAGAGGTTTTTTATATGACCTTATACATATTTTAAAGTGGCTATGCACTGAAATGATTAATTAAAAGAAGATGCAATTAGTATTAATTTGATTTCCTTCCTCTTCAGTCACAGCACATTGAACAATGCTAACTGATATTGACTCACCTGTTTTGCGACTGTTTGCTGCATAACTCTCTACAGGGAAACATGCTCTTTGACTGACTTGCCTCAATGGATTCTTTTGCATTGGCTACTGGATCAGGGGCTCTGCTCTTCATTATCCAGTATCTTCTGCACCACAGCTTCATCTGGAATAACTGGCATGGCAGAGAAACAGGTCTGTTGAACAAACTCCAGCTATGTATCATTATTTTGATTTAGAAGCATGCTACGCTTACTTTACACTGATGACAATTATTATAAAGAATTCCAGGCATTTAAGAGCTGACTGCATACGTTAATTTTTTGGCTAAGTGAGGAGTAGGTAGAAGGGATAGAAGGGTGACCTTATGGGTAGTGTACTAGCTGTTTAAATGAACGCACAGTACATTTATGTAAATGTTTACCTCATAGGTTAAAAATAGAAATAGGCAAATAACTAATAGTTAACTTTCCAAATTAAGCTAATGAAATAAACTTGCTTGACCAACTCCATGTCTGACACAGCCCCATTAATGGAAAGACAATGAAACAAATTGGTAATTGTATTCTTTTAATTAGTTGTCACTATCAGCATGACTTACTGGCCTGTATTTTCCTATACTTAGTGCAAAGGCAGACAAGCGATCTGATAAAATCATACTTCTAAAGGGAAGAGGGAAAACCTCTTTTGACATGCAATCCTCAGTGCTGTCAATGGCAACTGCAGCAATTACCTGTCATTTTAGGCTCCAGCCTTCTCTAAGGTTAGTCCATAATTCTGACAATCTGATTGGGACTGTATCACAGCAGGAACCACCTTTACTAAGTGCTCTGCTAATGGCATTACAATGAATCAAAATACCAACTTTAGTCAATGTTCATGCAATTTACATGAGAAAGCTGGTTTACTTTTCTCAAGCGCTCCTGCTCAAGTTTCCCTCAACTACCATTTTTCAACTATATTGTTTGGTGCAGAACAAGCATTAAAAATTTGCATCCAATCTTGCTTTTGATTGTGCATTAATCCTATCCAGATGGCAGCTGATGTCACTGTTTGCAATCCATTTTTCCTCTTCCAAATAATATAGTTAGCATTTCATAGTAGTTACCTGTCAAATCTTACAGATGAGTTCTTATGTAAGAATTCTCCCATGCAAAACAGCTACATTTGTGTTGGATGCTTGGACTAGTTGCAGGAGTAGCACGGACGACCATAGCTTACCTATGAGCAATCTTGATGGTTCACATTCTCTTTAATTGATAAAACTAATTTATTTGAAAAAATAGGTTCAATTAGTAGGGAATTGCTATGAAAGGAGAACAGCTATTTAAAGAACATCATGTAAGGAGGAAGCTGCTTCCAGTCTGGACAGCAGTCCCAGCTGCTTTGTACATCCATCTGGTCCAGGGAGTCCCAGAATTCAGGTCATCACTTCCTCAATATTGCTGAAGGACCACATGTTGGACCTTTAAGTGATCTAGACTACTAACATGCAAATCCTTTTCTGGAGCTGGTATATGGATTAGGTTGCCCCATAAAATAACACCTATGGGCACCAATCTCACGTGGAGATTGTTCAGTGAGAAACTGCATATAAAACTGAGATACAGTAACACCTAAATGCTTTGGCCGAATTAAGTTTAAATTAAAATTAGGTAAGAGACCACACAGCTATAACTGTAAAATAGCATGCCTTTCGGTAGGAAGCAGCTCTTTAAAAGATACCTTAGGAGAGCAACAGTAATTAAAATTACTATTACTGGGAGGTAAAATGGGAGGTTATCTTTAAAACAAGCTCAGAAACAGGACAGAAATTTGCTGTTTAGGTTAATGCAGGACGGAGCTGATGCAATTTTAATTAAGGATCACATTCCACCTCTGAATTTCAGGATTACTTTTTCAGGTAGGATGATAGCAAAAAGTTGCCTAAATATGGCAAAAAATGCTACTGCCATGCTGTTGTACTGGAGCGTTGCTCAGTCCTACTTCGGAAAGAGTGAAAAATAAGGTGCACAGTATTTTCTAGCGAGAAGACCTTACACTTGAGTTTAAAAAATATCAGAGGTACAATGGTGTTTTTCAGATGTTTAGGAAAGGGTATTAATTTGGGAATGTAAATATATGTTGCCAGCAAGTAGCATTAAAAAGTACGTTATTTTTTCATCTAGTGAACTACAGCATGAACATTACAAGTTGCTCACGCTGCTCTTACTGATAAAAAATACTCGACTATCTTGTAGTAATTATTTTATATTGTACTTTCCAGCAACTAAAAGCTAACGGTTCTGTGTCACATGTAAACAATTACATTTGAAAGTCAGAACCCTAGCTCTGACTCAGTGTTGCTTAGTGTTGCAGTCACACTCAGTTCTCACCTCAGTGTTGCATGCAACTCTGCAACGGCTTGGCAGACTCAGAGCTGAAGGAGATAGGTATAAACATGTTCTTCAAGCGTGCTTCATCCTATAGCAATAAAGCCGCCTTCCAAGGTACAAGCTGGGAGGTGTGTAGGCCTTACCCTTGCTCCCCACTTCACCACGTGGTGGAGAGGCCTCCTGTGGGCACCGTTGTCTTCCACTGGCTGAGCTCTGCAGTTAGGCCTGGCATGGCACGTGCCTTAGGCACACCATTATTCTGCCTAGTTACTGTTCTACTCATTTGCTTTGCACAAATAGGTTTTGGATTATTGGAATTAACTTTTCACAGAGCTGCAATCTCTGGATTTTACAGTCCAGGAGAGAGGGCAGTCACTGGTGAGGTCAGCATATGTAAGTTTGCCCAGTGTGCATTCCAGCTTCATACCTATTACACATGCCAACGTTCATTTGGTATCATTCGTATATTTCAATATTGAGTGTGTTCACATTTTAAAATTCCCCACCATGGGAACTCTGTGGAAAAGACCCTATGATGGCCATATGATAACCATCCTGTACTCTTCTATTACTGAGCACAAATTGGTCTCCTGCTCTGTGAAATCCACTTAAGAAGGTAACCCACTAACAGGGGGGGGTAGTGTAAAATCTGTCAAGGGGCAGGACTAGCATCCTGCACAACACAGACAGCACAAAGATGACCAAAACCCAAGCATAAATTAGGGAAAAAATAACCCCCCCACTCACACTAGCAGAGTCAGGAATAACAGCGTGAAGTGGGAGTCCCTCCATTGAAGCTCCCAGCCTCTGTCCATCACAGGATGATGAGCTACCGAGTCACGCAGCAATTTGCCCATCCGGCACAGTTATACATTTGAATTCCTTCTGCTCACCTTCTGTACCACAGGAGACTCTGTCTCCACCTTTTAGCTCTTCTAAAGCAGCAGAGGCCTCCTGTCTTCTTCTGAGAACCAATGTGTTTCTTGTACAGAGGGACCATTACAGATTTAAAGGAGACTTAAAGGCAGTACATCAAAAAATTCTTCCTCTTTTCACATTATCCTGAGCCGTTTTCTGTACACAGTGGCTCTCCATTGTGCTATGTAAGTTGAGGGCTATGTGTGGAATAGGAAGCAAAAGACATTAGATATACAACTGTACAAATTTTCACATAATTATATCTCTTCATAAATATCTTCAATAAACAAGAATTTAAATGCTATATTATATACACTACAAGATTTTCTATATACTACCATGGAGACGTATTAACAATTACAGTAATTAGTCCTTTAAACACAATGTAAATCCCCATGTTTACTTCTATCCTGGAGGCAAAACTTCAACTGATGTGTGGAGATTCCTGTATAGTCAGTATTTGTGTTATGAGAACTGTTGCCTCAATTTTCTGCTGAAGTTGTAAGAATGCTTTCATGCATCCCATTTCTACATACTTCATCATCTTTTAATGCTGTACCAGAGCCTGCCTGACAATGGTATTTTGTAGGCTTTACTTTGGCAAGTGTATAAAAGCAATTCCAGCTCAGTGCATTGCTGCACATAGATGGCTCCTTGTTAAAAAAAAAAAAAAAAGGCACAAACCCCTTCACCTCTCTTCCTTTTAACAGTAATGAAAAGGCATTGAATCCTATCATAAATAAGCAAGCAGATTTGGTCTACTCTAGGTAGAGGTCTGAAAGATGCAGCTTCCTTGGCAAAATCACGAGCTGCAGCTTTTTCTTCAGAGAACCACTGAGGGTGGCTCTCTTCTCTCACTTCCAGAAGTGGTTAGTAGGTGGTGTTTTGCTGACTGACAGTTTAGCCTGAAATATCTGGATGAACATCTGCTTTTAAGAAACTCTGTCCTCCTAGACTGAAATAAGACAGCTTTTCCACAGTACGTCCAGCTGGACATTCAGAAATGATTAACATGCAAAATTTTACTCCTTAGATCCTAGAAAAATGTCTTTTTTTTTTTTTTAAATATATTTTTTTTTAATTTGTATAGAGAGAACTTGTCCTTCTAACACTGTTACAAACAGTTTCATACAAGAAATTATATAAAATACCACAGTGATGAACTCAGCAGAGACACACTCAGATCTGCTCTAAAAGTGCTGGAGTCTGCAGTGTGGATAACAATCTTTGAGATAAAACAAAGGGAAAACATTGTTTTATTTCATAGAAAAGAGAAGAAAAACAACACTACATTCCTAATACTTATGTTTATTATGAAAGTGTCTCCAAATTAAAATGGCCCACAATACTGACTGGTTCCAGATATTTTATGAGGAGTAATTATTTTCCATATTAGAAAAAAACCAAACCAACCGAGTTAAACAGAAAGTAACTCCCAAAGTTCTACACAACAGCTATATATGAAAGGACTTCTAGCTAGCACATCACTGTGTCTGGGACAGTGGAGTTCCTACACATCACTGCATTTCTGAAAGAGTTGCTCAAGCACAGGATTGTCATGAAAACACAGGCAAAATAGTGTCATCTGCCTCACCCTGACTTGCAACAGGCAGTCAATATGCACAGTACAATATAAGAGCTCATGTATAAAAGTTAAACTCCAGGACTGCAAGAAGCTGAAGCTCAACAGAAGCCAGAAAATGTGGTCTGTTGCACAAATTGTTTTAGGTTGTGTAAGACAATAATTTTTGTCTTTTGTCTGACATGTGTGATCGCTGACATATCTCCAAAACATCGTTTCATAGTTTCTTAGTTGAAATCAATTTCTAAGACTGAAAATTTTGTACAGACACACTCAAACACTGTGTTTTCATTGCAACTACAATCAGAAATCCTTACAATTTAAAGGCTATACATGTACACCACTTTTCCAAACTTCCACTAGCGCTTTTTAAAAAGAAAAGAAAAAAAAGTAAGGTTGTCTTACTGAAGTTCCCATTAGGTCTCTGTTTCAAATCAAAACCAGTCAAAAGAAGTAATACAAACCAGTTTTGCTTTATGGTTTGAAGGCAACTGTAGTCTGCAGAACACTGAATTTAGGCCTAATAGGGTCTATGTTACAGGAAGGGTAAAAAGTATTCGATAGCTCCTCTCGCACAAATGTCAGAAGAAGTAGACAATAGGAGACATACAAAAATGAGTTGTAGCAAAGAGATTAAAAAAATACCAAAGCATCAACTGTAGAAAACCAATGGTAGCCCATGTTTCTCTGAGAATACGGAAGGCTGCAGTAATGAGAAGATGAATGAAACAGGCATTAGGCTTCCTACTACTCTGCATAAAACACATGCAGTGTCTAAATCAACCAGTGTTGATCATCACTGACATTTGCTGAAGGGTAATGGCTTTCGCCGTTGTGTCCCATTCAGAACCAGAAAGTGATTTTCACCTGAAAGAGATACAGATTTAAGACAAGAATCACTTCACTGTAAGCAAAGATTTAGTGCATGTACTTGGGTCTCAGAAAAAGGATTTGGTATTGGCAATCACACAGAATGGTCACAGGCTGAGACAGGAGCATAAGAAGCTGTGACACCTGTTCCAATCCTGCTGGAATCATTAAATAAATAACACATAGAAAAAACTACAAAATGACAACAAGGAAACAACATGGGACACTTTGGTATTTTAGAACTAGCACTATTGAACATTGATCGAGATCCAAAAGACTCCAACGTCCACTCTTGTTGATCGATCAGATATTTCCACCATTTTCTGCAATGTTTGTTTTTAGTTTTTTTTTTTTTTTTTTTTTTATGAAAAAAAGAAATTATTTTGGTACAAAATATGCCAATATGGGAAACAGTAAACAAAGGGAGACCTGAATCTTATTTTACTATATTCTGGGTTGGCTAGGGAGAGAAGACAAATTCTTTCTATTTACTAATAAACTCTGTGTATAATTTCCTCATTTTTCTATTTCAACATCTCAACCACTGTGTCGTGTACTGTACTATAAAAAGGGAGCATAGAAGTTGAAGACAAATAGGCTATAGAGTACAAAGCCTCATTTCTAAAATGACTAAAATGATGATTCTACAAAAGATACGAATATACAGAACCTTTTAAGATCTTGAATTTATCATAAGCCATGTGCATCATTTCAATTTCATGGAATATGTGCGATTATTCTCTAAATACTTGATGGTCTTCAAAAGCACCTTGCAAAGCTCTTCGGCAGAGAAGCAAACAAATTCAAATAAAAAATGAAACAGTTGTATGACATTCTCTCTGCTGAGTGGAAGATGAAGCCAAAGTTTTGACATCCATTGGTTAAAGCAATGAATCAAAACACACTGTCATATATGATCACTAAAACACTTGGTCCTTCCCAGTAGAGACAGACAAAACTGTGTGAATTTTTAATTTTCATAAAAAACCTGTGGCTTGAAAGTTTAGTGATTGTTTAGCAAAGTTTAGTGAAATTCTCAATGCTTCCTTACTCTTAGCCCATTTTACCAAATGTGTAATTTGAACATCTCATCTCATCTCATCTATTTTCCTGTAGTAAGTTTATTCTAGACTGCAAAGAATGGAGTCCAAAAAGTCAGGTTTATAGGAGATAACTAAGCCACTGGGAGTCAGCTGAACCATGGTAACTGCATACATGCTTTAGCACATCATAAATGCAACTAAATTTAAACCTCAAAGGAAGAGTTTCAATCCAAGTTGCATTATTTAACAGTGGGGATACACTAAGAGCATATGTAGCCAGAAGTGGTAAATCATCTCATCTCAAGGGTTGTAGCCTTCACTATACATCTGAATCAACACTGTAGAACACAGGTGGGGAGGACCAACAGGGACCAATGGTCTCCTGCCTCTTGCACAGGAATTCTTATGGGGAACTGCTCTCTGTCCTGGTAACAACAACATTACAGTATGCTGTCCAAGTTGTGTACATTGATACTTCAGAGCAATGTTCTGTTCCCATGTAGGACAAAATATTTTTGTAACCCTCTTTGCAGAAGGGAAGTGGTCCAGGGGAGGTAGTAATTAACACCATAAAAAGAGGTGTGTTTGAACTGCTATTCTCAATTACAGTCTTAGCAGGCCAGATTTCAGAAATTATAATGTTCATTCAATATATCTCAGGATGGTTTTGTTTTATAATCTTGGCATCATCTTGACAGTAAGTATTAAACAACTACCACTTCAAATACTGTGTTTGGAATACTTTCTATTGCAATAAGTGTATTTTCATGTGTAACCTGCCCTACAGATAACTGTATTAAATCAGAGGCACAGGAGACAGATGAGAAAAATTAGAGGCAGAGAAAATTTTGAGGGGAGATGGAGATTTAAATAAGACAAGGGAGTCTTATTTATCTGTGTATCTGAACTCCCTCAGATATACTCATGGACATATGATCCATGCAGCTGCTGGATCACAAGGTTACCCAGCTTTTTCAAAAGATGCTCTGTGGGTAGTAAAACTGACAGATCTTCTTCCACGATTTACTATTTTTCAGGTTCCTTACCTTAATTGTCTACTAAATGGAGGTATTATTTTAATTCATGCTATTCTGCCCTTACTTTTAGCATATTTTTAGCAAACACACAAGGGTCCCTATGGATAATAAACGTTTCAGAAGTTTTCAAGAGTGATAAGTAGAATAGGACAAATCTCCATTTTTCAAAAGCAAGACGTGGCAACACAACTTTCTTCAATGGAATTTGTATAAAATAGAGCCTTTAAACATGTTTTACGGCATTGGAAACCATCTATATTTTGCTATTTGCATAGGTGGAAGGAATCAGAAAGATTTCCTGGCTTAGAATTCCAGCTGAACACGACACTCCAGTCCCTTTGTATATAGAAGACACACTGTTACATTTTTTTTTTTCCTGGTTTGTTCCTTCCCTTTTTTTTTTTTTTTTTAAACTTAGTTTTTTTTTTAAATATATATATAAGTCTTTGGTCTATAAGCACATTGGTTCAGTGTGCACATACACAATACTGTTGAACAGTAGGTTGCATAGAGTCTGTTACCCAAGAACCTCACCTACTTTTGGCACTGCTGTCACAAATCACAGAAAAGCATCCTGCAAGAACTGTATGATCCTTAGCATCCTACATCAAACTTTGATCTAGAGACTGGAAGAAGCGTGTATATAATGTTTAAAAATATGTTCATTTTGGGTGTTACTTTGTCTTCTTTGAGACACAGTTTGTAAATGTTGAATGAAAAAGGAGTGCAAAATTATTTTACAGATACCCTTAATTTTATTTGGAGAGGTCATGAAATACTGCTGAGTGTTCAAAGTTTGCTGTGAATTATGTTAAGTGAAATTTGCTCAAGTTTTCATGCATTTAAAATAAACTACTTGTAGTAATGTATGACATCCTGCCTCCTCCCTCTTCACCCTACCAAGAAAGTGGTAATAATTTTAAGAATGATACCTAGAGTAAACTTTTCATTTGCTGTTTTTTCCCTTACATCCCTGCTCTCATCCATCTGAGCGTGCAAGAACAGTTTCAGGAGTGAGGTCTGGATTCACAATGGTGCACTTCAACAAACATCTTTCAGCCTGGAATCTCTGCAAAAAGCTAACATCTGTAGAGGTCAAAAATTGCAAGGAAAAAAAAAAAGTGAGAATGAGTTTATCCTGTTGATATCAATGCGTTTGGGTATTTGCACAACAAATCAAGTCTACTTCTAATGCAATTAACCACCAAATTGCATTTTAAATTATGCTAAAATAATATTCAAAGATTACCACAGTATTTTTCCCTGAATTTCTAATTGACCACATTACCTACTATTTAAAATATCAATCCAGTGTTTTAAAACTTTCTGTTGGAGGAACGGCCAATGTGATTTGATAGGCATTTTCAAAATCAGCACTTTAAAACACAAAGATTGCAAAAATATCTGAAGCAGATCTAGAATCTATAAAGCTATGTTCTATCTTACTGTAAGTAACAAATCAAGCAACTATTGCTTATATCAGACTCAGCAAAAGCAACAGGGATGGACAGAAGAGATCTGAACATGATGTTCTCCACCACTGAGAATCCCAAGAGATAAAGTTTGAGAATGGATATTCCCTTTTGTCCATAAGTTCCCAAAAGAATGCAAAATAAATAATATTTCAAAGACAATACAAGTGAAAATACTGCTCCCACTGTGTCAGTTACATACACATACAGCATGCCTACGTATACAGAATGGTGTGTTGTCTTCATTCACAAACAGGAAATATGGCAGTGTGCTATCAGAATGCTTTTGATACTCCTAATTTTTTCTGATGCCAAGATACATGAATAAACCGCATTCACAACTTATAATTTACTTCCAGTAGCAAACAGTTCATTCTGTTCATGTCTCATGATTGAACTCAAAGATTAATGCTCCTCTGAGCAAGTGCCACCAGTAAGATACCCATTTGTCCCATTGGCACCACTGGTCCCATTAGTGGTGATAGTGCTGTGTGGGGTCTTTGAACGAGGTACTGATTCTTCCTCATCTGAGCTTGACTCAATGTCACTTCGATCATCCTTTGCTACCTGTAGAATTTGGAAAAGAAGCAAGCAGTTGGTGACTGTAAGGAAACAACTGAGCTTTTTGGTTAGAGAGAAGCAAGAAAATTCAAACATTTTTCAATTTGAGCTTTGAAGGCAATCTCAACTCTGGCACGCTTCTCTGCCTTTGCCTGCCTGTATTCGCTTCATACACAGATGCCTGTACACACATATACCATGTGCAAAGGCAGGTTGAGAACTTCACACTGGTGCACTGAAGGTGAGGGTACAGCACTTGAGGCAAAGGGTTGTTCACAGACTAAAGTAATCAACAATCCAAGCTCCCAAGTTCGATCTAGCTGCAGTCTCTCTGCCCTCCTACCACAAATTTATTTCCTGTGCTTCCTTGGGGTGCTTCACTTTGACCTGATAATTCAAAATATTCAACCCAACTTCTTCCCCCTCACCTCCCAGCTCATTCTGTAGAGGCCTCATGGCTCCAGGGAACAGTGATAAGGGCTGGCAGGAGGAGACAGAAGTACTGGCTGAAACGTAACTCACCGTACCAGGTAACTCCAGTCTCTGACTTCAGGCAAGTGGTGAGAATGGGGCTTGGGAACTGTGGACATAGTCCACTTCAGTCCCTGTTACCAGAACCACAAACGTAATTGAGCAGTTCAACTGTTTGCCCCATTGTGTCACTGAAAAGCTGTTTCAGAAACAGACTGACCTTAATTGCTAGAGATTTTCTGCTAATTTCCAGCTGCCAGTTTATATCCATTTACTGGGTAAATGCTGTTTGTTAGGTTAAGGAGTCTGCTCTCCTCCTTTAAAGGGCTCTTTGAAGGTCATAGAGGAAGATCACTAAGTTGGAGAGCTGAGTCCCTTCAGAATCCCTAAGGTGACTTTGCTTCACCCCATTCAGTCAGGTGCACCCCAAACAAGTAAAAATATGAGGAAGCCAACAACGGGCAGGTTAAGGAGAGCAAACAAGGGCAACAGAAAAGAAAATCCTTCAAAGAAAAGGCCCTGTCTGCCCTGGTTTTTATGGGATGCTTTTTCCCAGGGAGGTAACAATGGCAATGCCAACATGTAGGATCACAGGATAACTCAGGTCAGAACAGACCTCAGGAAGTATATGCCCAACCTCCTACTCAAAGTAGGAGCAGCTGTGGAGGCAGGTAAGGTCACCCAGAGCTCTAATCAGTCTGATCTTGTAAATCTCCAACACTGGTAAGAGTGCATCAGATGATATAAAAAAGAGCATCAACAGAAAGAGGTCTAACCTGCACACAGCTTTAAAGATGCAGCTTTCCATGCCTGCTTCTACCGCTGTTTGTATAGCTGAGCCTCCTAATTCGTTCAGAATCTATCCATGCTGTGCTGGTTGCCACATCAGCAATTACAATTGACTTTACTATAGCAAATGGACATAAAGGCAAAACACATGGCAAGTCTTTTTCCCAAAGAAATAAAAACAATTAAAGAACAGGGCCACTGCATGTAATTTTTTTCTTACAGTAATCCTCCTCTACTCCAGAAAGCCCTCATGACAATTCTGCTCTCTAACTCTTGCCTCAGAAACATCCATTTGCCTTTGGGGCTCCCAATGTTGTTATCATTCTTGCAATGTCATAACACCTGAGTGACACTATTCTGCTTGGGAGAAAAGAAAGACACAGTTCCCATATACCTCCTAATAAGTAAAGTTTTTAATGTCAATGTCTAGCAAGCCTGCAGTTCTGACACCCACGAAACTGGACTTCAGCTGAGGTCAGAAATTTGATTCCATACTTACACAGCTTCAATTAACAGCTTACTTCAGTCTCTTTTATATAAAGGAACTTTTATATTAAAGCTGTTGGCGATACAGAAATACACTTAAAATTATACTTTTATCAGACAGAAGAGAATGGGCACAGCACTGGGTATTGAGTACCTGTGATCAATGTGAGGGCAGACCAGATGATTGAAAAATTCTGCGTCATCTTAAATTCTCTTAATATATTAGATTCACTGCCAATTCTTCTGTTAAGGTCCTGCCCCAAAGCAAAACAATCAAAAGAAGATTCTATGCTGCAGCCACTTCTGTTAAATATGTGATCCACTCTCTTTATTTTTATAAGGGTCTTCGCACTTAAAACGTGATATGAATGCAACACATACTGCAGTACTTAAACCTCTTTGTTTATCCCCAAAAGAACCCACTGGAGTAATTTCTATAGAAGGACTCTAGAAAATATATATCTAGGTTTACAAAACTCCTAAGCATAACAGCAAGTAAGAAACAGATTATCAGGATTAGTTACAAATTTAATGATAATAAAGTGCTTTATCAGCTGAGCTGTTCCAAAGGTGGGTACTAGTAATACAAAAATAAAACAATAATTAAGAATGAATATCTACTGTAAGGTATCTGTTATGTGTTATAAAACTGTTTATTTTACTGCAGAAACGGAAAGAACGGGTTTGTAAGTGAGAAAGTTAGTTAAGATCTGAAGGAAGAAGAATCCTCCATGTATGTTGCACATACGCAACTTTAACCTGGTCACTGTCTTCTTGCGTCTAACTCTGCTCTCCTTTGAACTACAAGGTAAAGGACTCATGCTCTCAAGTATGCTTCCTGAACGGTGACAGAGCAGATGCATATCCTGCTGATATTTATGTGCAAAAAATGTTGAAACATAACAGCACCCCAAAACTACAGATAGAAGTGGGTTTGAATTGTGTTAGACAATGCATAGGCAAGAATTAAAAATGGCCTTTAAAGATAGCCTTCATTTAAACATATAAACACAAACAGTGGGTAAAAATACCAAGCACAAATGATAATTAAAAAAAATCCACACAAACACCAGTATTGCACAGAATAAATCTTTTGCATAGTAAATTTAAAGAAACTTACATGCAAGGGATTCCACTTCCCAGCCTTCCAGCACAGCACAAGGGAAAGGATAAACAACCAGAGTAAGAGAGAGTATGAAGCACTCTTTGAAATCACTGGTGTAATTCAGACAGGACAGCTGAGGCTAAATAATTGCTAAAAGCAGAGGAGACTGAAGTGTGGCTTCCAGGCAAAATACAGTTCATGAATGCACTGTCTTTCATACAGAGAGAGTGGCAAATTCTGGGCTCTTTCCAGTGCAAGGCTGAGCTCTCCAGCACATTCGTAGAAAGCAGTTTTCTGCAGAATAATCCCATTCACTTCGGGGGTGGTCACACATCTAAAACTTCTACTCGTGTGCTCTACTCTTGAACGGCAAAATACCCTGTACTTTACATGATCTGTAAGCATTGGTTCTATCATCTAAACAAGAGTGTCCTATCTGCACAGCAAGTGCAATGGGGCTAGCATTTCTGTGAATTATATCTTCCTGTCAGATATAACAAGAGCAGCGAGACACTAAATTTTATCCCAAATGGTCTTGCTGTGGGAATCCTAGAAAGAAAGTACATAGACCTTCGCAGAACCTCATTAATACCAAAACACAAAAGAGGCTGTGATTTCTAAATTTGCCACTAGCAAAGGCAGTGGAATTTCAATTCGTATTATTATCACTATCAGTAGCAGTTGGGAAATGAACACTTTGCTAACAACAACTATAAAGAAGAAAAACAGAAAGCATTTTGCCTTTTTTTTTTTTTTTTAATCCAAATTCCCTAATGTGGTTTGGTTCAGTGTACCACATTATAAAAAAAAAAAAAAGTGTGGAAGCACATATAAGTACAATCACTATAAAGAGTATATTAACTTATCTGACATTTGTTAGAAGGAGTGGAAAAATGTTTCTATGAAAGGAAAGAAGAGTTTACATAAAACAACATATGTTTTCAGTAACATGTTATGGATTATAAAGAAAAAGCAACCAAAAAGTCAGTGGTCCTATACTAATATTGAAAAAGTTCAAATCCTAAACATGAAACAGAACCAAGCTGTCTTACCTTGCCCTTTGAAATAGCTTTGTAGGCTGCCTTTATGATTAGGTAGGACCAAAAACAATGCAGAATTTGGAGAATCACAAGCAGCACATTGAAGACCCACAAGGCAGGAAAATTGCCCAGAGCTTCATACAGTTCAAACAATGTTGTATTTAATATCCTAGAAGAGAAAGGAACAGAAAAATAGTAACACTTTCTTTAAGCCAACAATCTAAAAGAAGTCTTTTTTAAATCAAGATGACAAATATTCGATTAGATGGGATCCACACGGATAGCTGCTTCTCAGAGTAATAGTGACTCGGACTGAATCACACACATGTCTCCAGAGAGAAACAACTTCATTTTATAAACATCACATATAGAAAACAAAGACCCTCAGTGTGTATTTCTTCTCTTCTTTTATAAAGCTAGCAGGTGTTGGTTGTCTGAAATAACTCATTCCCTGATTAATAACAAAGATTACTTTATTCCATTTTCTTAAGTCAAGTCTTCCCATGTCAACTGCCTCCAGTAGGGGCTTTGGTGCCCTCATATTTGTGCAGGGTAAGAGCATGTATGAGGACTATTATACTACAGTGCAACCCCCATGCCGTATCATGTTCTTCGAACCATGTTCCCAGGCTGTGACAGTGACCTGCAACCTCTTCCACATCACGTGAGACAAACCTGTACCAAGAGCTGGGCAACGCTCCATAGGTACTCCCATCTGAAGCCCTCTCTCCAAGCCAGCGGGTTTGTTTCAGTGTACAAAGCTATGGATGTCTTTGCCCTCTTGGTATCAGCAATGCAAGTCATGTACTATGTGGAACTGAAAACAGTCTGAGACAATTCAATTAGAGAGAGACTTCAGCAGAATGTGAAACAATGGCACATGCATGTCAGGATTCAGTCTCTTACGGGGTTTTCTAAGAATGGGAGTGGTCTTTGGCTGAGTGTCCCAACATAAACTCTTATTTAGTGGAAACCTCAGCACCAGCAGGAATCCAAAGTCAAAATAATCAAGGAGTCAGCAGATTTTACCCTAGGTCTTGAACATCCTGGGTGCCTGCACTAACTGCTAAGGTAGTGGGTAGCTCTAGCGGCCACTTTTTGCACAAAATCCAATTTGCACACCACTTATGTATAAGCAAGAGTGAGGTTTAGCAGTTACATAAAGGACAGGTGGACAACAGGGATACTTGGGGGTAGCAAGGGTGGGAGACCTTATTGCAGCCTTTCAATACTTCAAGGGGGCTTATAAGAAAGATGAGGCCAAACTTTTTAGCAAGACCTGTTGTGACAGGGCAAAGGTTAATTGTTTTATAGTAAAAGAAGGTAGATTTAGATGAGATGTAAGGAAGAAATATTTTACTGTGAGGGTGATGAAACACCCTCATAGTAAAATCTACCCAAGGATGGGTAGATGTCCCATTCTTGTAAACATCCAAGGTTGCATGGGGCTCTGAGCAACCTGATCTGGTGGAAGATGTCACTGTTCACTGCAGGGGGGGGTTGCACTAGATGACCTTTCAAAGTCCCTTCCAACCCAAACCATTATATATCATTCTATAGTTCTATGAAATTTGGGAAGTTCTAGACATTTGAACCAAGTTTTTGAGAATCAACATTTTGGATGTAGGCAGGAACAGTGATGTTACAGTATGGCTTCTGAGGCTCTGTGAATACAGAACTAATTATTCTGCCCAAATACTCTGCTGTAACAGATGAATTCAGTCTGGACTTCAGCAAACAGCCTGGGAACAGATAGTGGACAACAGACGGTAGAGACAATGGCATTTTTGGAAACAATAATCTATGAATGCCTGTTAATTAGAGGGAGAAAAAGAAGGCAATATAAGGATTTGTCAATCTCCATCCATTTTCCCTGCTGGTGTAAAATTTAATTGGAGTCCATTGGCTTATTATTTTTTTTAATTAACTATCATGTGGTAGCCACTAGATGGCACATTTAATCAAGCAAACAACTGCACAGCTCTTGGGTAGCACCAGCTTTGTCTGAAGGTAGGAGACGGAGGTCCTGTAAGGGCTTCAGAACAGCACAGCTCTCATTTGAGAAGTTAGACTCTGGGCTCAGCTGTTTAATAAGCAATCACATTTGCCACAGTCCTTTCCAACAACATAAAATCAGCTCAAGCAGTATTAATAAGGAGAATGTACAGAAAGCAATCCCACAATACAACATTCAGTAGTAATTTATGCGTATAAACAACATTGGTCAAAAATCAACCAGTGACTTCTAATACACCGGCCTTAATACTGTAGGGCATTTAATAACAAATTTTCTGCCTTTTTATTTTTGCCTTCTTACACTAAACTGTACATTTGCTTCATAATTTATTAAGTGGATGTTTTATAACCTTATTATACAGTTGTGTCTTTGCCCTGTGTTCTGTTTATGGAGTGAACATCAGAAAACCCCTCTGTTTTCCAGTTTGCAAACCCCCTATCATATTATTGCTTCTGTCAGCTAAAACTCTTTAGTCTCAGCTTTGTGTATTTGTTCTGTCAACGGTAGCTCTACATGGCACAGCAATACCCCGCTTTATAATTCAAGGAGATGTTCTCATGCATATCAAAACACAGCTGTAGTCAGCACTGGTTTACTTCACCCATAGTTATATCTGGTCTAACCACTATATCAAATTCAAATTTGAAATCAACAACTCCTATATGTAAAACTACCATTGTTTACATTCAACTGTGTTTTTTTTTTATGTCTCAATTTTTATATGCTCCAGAATTGTAAATGCAGTTTCTACAGGTTTCTGTTTATATTTTCATTCATTGGACCAAATTCACCTCTGGGGACTTCCATAGGAGTTAAGTCAAAAAAGCAGCATTAGAGATGCAGATGGTCCATTCTTGCAGAAGTCCAAAATATCAGGAAGACAGCAAGACCAAAAAGAGTGCTTCTGGTTCCAAAAGCAGTTTCACTGTGCAAATGAGTCATCTACTGTATATTAGATATAGGAAGTAAACATTCTTTAAAAAAGCAGACCTCTTTCTAACGTGCTCATGTCTAGCAAACTAAGGACAGGACTGAACCCTCCATTAAAGCTGCATAAAGGATTTCAGTAATTGCTCAGCAATGCTAAGAGGGGTCAGTGACATGACGTGCAGGCTAGGTGTGCAGACAGAGCCAAGCCTATGTCTAAGCATGTAGGGATGAGCAGAAGCTGAATGAAAAATACAGAAAACTACAGAAAAACTGGAGGAAAGCAAGTAAACTTTCTCTCTCAGAATGTATCAATTATTTATTTTCAAAAGTCTGAAATAGGGGGGGGAAATCGTAAGGTTAGTGGGCATAATACAGAGAGAAATTCTACTTGTAGAGACTGAGGAAGAGACGAAGGGAAGAAAGGTTATACAACTTTCCACCAATTACACTACTGAAAGGATTCAATGAAAGCATTTTAACCAACTACACAAATAACAGGGACTGGAAAAAGCAGCATGAGAATGGATTACATGAAGGAGAAAGTGCCTAGAGAATGTATATACAAATACATTTTAGGTTCAAATATTCAAAAAGTCACTCAGATACTTAAATCTGCAAACATGCTTGGCTGGAATTTTTCAAAGCTCTCCAGTGGTTAAATCCCAGCTTTTCGTAATGAATGGTGGAAACTCTGATTCTTGGCTATCTGACTTGAAACAGATAGACTTGATCTCACAGGGAGAAATTACTTTAAGCTGCAAGTTCTCTACCTCTGAAAACTTTGGTCAGCATTTCTCAGGTCTCTGCAATTTGAAACAAAATGTTAGCTTCTGCTTTTGAAAACAGGTTCTGGACTGCAGCAATTCTTCTGAGGCCCTGAAAGATTTGGACAAAACAACACAATCTCATAGAAGGTATTCTTCCCTCATTAACTGCATCCCAATCAGGGTTGTGCACCTGGCCATATGAAGCTCTCAGTTTAGCATCTTGAATTAAGTAGTGTGGCTGATGAAGGCAAATGAAAACAAATTCAGCACTTAACATCAAATCTACTCTTCCAGAAATCTGTGGTAGACTTTCAGGAATGCTGCCACAATATCTGAGCCACAGAAAGAGGTAATTCTGTACTTACTGTACCACTATTCTAGTTGAACACTCAGAATAAAATGAACACATTTTCAACAGCTACTAACCAATCAGCTGCATCACATCAACAATAACACAGGTTTTTCCTCTACTGTCTAACTCTATCTAGCCAACAAAGCAGTACTTGGGAGACTATCAGCAACAGCACCATACACTGACTCAGACAAGATTACACTCCCTCCCCTCAACTTAGTGGGCACAAGTCCAGGGTCTTGAATAACAGTTAATAATTCTTGGCAAGCTGATCACTTGTCTTGCACCAGGGATGGAAGGAGAAAACGCGATGAAGGAAAAGAGATAAAGAGAGCGCAGGATGGGTGGAAGACTAAAACACTTATTTATATTTGTCTGAGAATTGGCAAAAATGTGCTGTGTTTGCTTCTGAAAGGATCCTGAGAGGAATGAAAGGAAGTGAGAAAGAAGGCCATGTGGAAAGAGTAGGCATTCTTCCAGACTGGCAGGAAATGCATGATAAACTCTGCAGAATGAAGCATAGCAGTGCAATGGGCACTATTATCACATGCAGTGGGAGCAGAAACTGCAGAGCTGAAATGAATGCTACTGCAAGTTGCCTTAGCTTCTGCATCACCGTCCAGTGACCAACTGACTGTGTGTGCTGAATGAAAGGCATGTTGTTACCACAGTGCAATAGATAGAAGTCTCAAAGTATAACCAAGGACAGGAAAACATGATACCAGCTTGTCTAAATCACTCAGAATAAATGTTTTTATTTCCTTTACCAAGTGTATATTAGACAACAATATTCTATATTGCACCATAATCAGCTGCACTGGGACGTCCTTCAATACTGTATATGTTACAGAGCTAATAGATAATGACATTTAGGTGGGCATTAATGAAATTCAGATCTTATTTAGTGCAAGTAATCTGAAAATACTACTGACAGCAATGCTTCAAAGTTTCTGCTTTTTTGAAATTTACTTTGAAAAATAAACAATTGCACTTATATCTGCCCCAAAACATAGTAGCGTATTGTCTACTATACATGGTAAAAAGTGACTAAGATCAGAGAACAAAGAGTCAGTAGTCCTAAATTCTGGATTTAGCTGTTCTAT